CTTCCTCCCTTCTCTCTCCTATATTGTTCCCTCCCTCCCTCCCTCCCTCCCTCCCTCCCTCCCTTCCTTCCTTCCTCCCTTCCCTTTTCTTCCTCCTCCTCTCATTATTTTGATGGACATTGTAAGGATTTCAATTAGTTAAGATTCACTGATATTGTTCATATAAGTTGTCAACTTACAATCATTCTTTTAGCAATCATTCAAAGTTCCACAGGCACCGAGAAAAGTTACTTACGGCCTCACACTTACAACTGTCACAGCTTTCCCACCATCACGGGATTAAAATTCAGGCATTCAGCAACTGGCATTTACTTACAATGGCTGCAACATCCCAGGGTTGTGTTGCAACCTTTCCAGCCATCTTCCAAGGAATGAAGACAACGGGGCAAGCCAATTTTGATGAATGAACACAGTGATTCACTTAACAAACAGAGTGATTCGCTTAACAACTGTGACACTTAGACTTATACATCACTTCACAGTGCTTTTACAGCCCTCTCTAAGGTGTTTTACAGAGCCAGCATTTTGTCCCCCACCAATCTGGGTCTTCATTTTACCCATCTTGGAAGGATGGAAGGAGGAGTCAACCTTGAGACGGTGAGATTCGAACTGCCAAACTGCTGGCAGACGGCAGTCAGCAGAAGTCTTGCAAGCAAGCAAGATTTCATATACGAAAGATTTCATATACGAAAGCTGGCTTAGGGAAGCGCCCCGATCTTCTCTACTGCAAGCAACAATGTTCAGTGAATTGGCCCTCCTGATGGTGCTGATGGCCTCCACCACCTCAAGCTCCCTATTGTCTAATCACAGAAGAGGTCTACCAAGGTGGACAACCACTTGCAATCTACACTATCCAGCTTCTTATGCTCCTAAGGTAAAGGTTCCACTTGCACCTATGCGCTAGTCATTTCCGGCTCTAGGGGGCGCTGCTCATCTCTGTTACAAAGCCAAAGAGAGCCAGCGCTGTACGAAGACGTCTCCGTGGTCATGTGGCCAGCAGGACTAAATGCTTTCGGAAGGCACACAGAACGCTGTTACCTTCCCACCAAAGCAGTCCCTATTTTTCTACTTGCATTTTTATATGCTTTCGAACTGCTAGGTTGGCAGAAGGCGGGTCAAGTAACAGAAGCTCACTCTGTTACACGGCGCTGGGGATTCAAACCTCTGATTGACAAGCTCAGCGTCTTAGCCACTGAGCCACCGCGTCCCTTATCATGTTGCAAATCCTGAGGCCAAAATCCATTGGCATTTACGAAGCTGCCCTTCGCCTCCTGCCCTCCTTCCTAGCTTCTAAGCTTGGAAGACAACAAAGAGAAGAGAATTTTGCCCCCCACCCCTCGAAGAAACCCCTCCCAGTCCCTTCCAAAGCTCTGAGATCAACCTTTCCCCATATCGCATGACCAAGGCATCTAATGGCACTTTCCCCTTTAAGGAAATTACGATTAATGAAGAGCTAAATTGCAAATCCATTAGGTTTTAGTCAGCTCAGCAACGCCACGTGGGGTGAGGGGCTTGGGTGGGGGATCTGGGGAGGGGGTGTCTGGAGAGAGGTTTCATGAATGCTCAAGAAATCCAATAATGTAACCTCTGGTAAAGCTTGAAAAAGCCCTGAAGGACAAGGCAGTTAGATCAATATTAGTTTATTTCAACGGCTGCACAGGACGGAGCAGGGAGAGAAGCATCCAAAGGATTTTATTACCTGTTGGGGAGATAAGCCCTGGTGATAAGAGGCCCGGCACTCCGTGGGGAAGCAAGCGCGTGTTCTCTTGTACCGCAACCCCCAGAGAGCGCTTGGGGGGTCTCCCCGGTCGTGAACTGTTGAAACAAAAGTGAAAATAAACTTTTAGTGCTCTTTTGTCAAAAGGATTTGCATCAGCAATGTACTTTGCATCGATTTTCTTTTATTTTTTTAAGGCCCTGACCAGCCGAGTCCTTGGGTTGCTGGTTTCTTATTTCTGCTGCCAGAATTTTAACTCTTTCTGAACTCCAAAGTGACCGGTCAATCACCCATTACAAGTTGCCTGCAGGCATTCTTAAGGTTTGGTTAATGTGGGAGAGGACCGGGCTGAGACCGAGGGAGGAGTCAAGGGTGTCATTAGTTTGGAATTCCTTTGCAGTTGCAAGAGATCTAACTGCAACCCATCTTGAATTCCATTGACTCTTATGTCCCAAAGGTGGGTTTTTTCCCCCCATGTTTTATTTATTTTATTTATATAACATGTAAAGATTCAATTGCAATTGAACAGTGTGTTGACTGGGTACAGTTACTTTTAAGCAATCATAATCAAAATGTTTACAATGATGTTCATCACAATAATATTAATACTATAATAACAATAATATTTAACTTATCTACTTTAACAAGTCTCCTTTCTAACATTTGTCCTGCATTTATTATATCCCCATATTTCTAACTTCTGTTTTTATTATCTAACCCAGGGGTCGCCAACCTTTTGGACCTCAGGGACCACTAAACTCATAATTTTAAATCCCGCGGACTAATATGAATTTTGACAGACAATGGCTTGCTGATGTTGGTGGGAAAATTGGTCCCATATTCCAGAGCTGCAGTAGTCACAGGACTGGCTCTTTGGTCATCCCGGAGCAGCTGCTCCTCCACCCAAGTGCACCAGCCTGCCATGGACTGGAGGAGCTGCTCTGGGATGACAAAAAGGCCAGTTTTGTGACAACTGCAGCTCTGGAATAAGGACTGACTTTCCCACCAACATCAACAAGACACCCCGGGGCAGATTTCCCTCCCCTGCTGTTGGTCTTACCTTCCAGTCCCAGCTCACGTGGCTCCACTCCATCACCCTTACCTTCTCAGGCCAGGAAAGGAGTGAAGGGGAGAGGAGGGGTCAGCCAGTGGCGGGATCAACCGACAGGGAGCCATAACAGAGGGCCGAAAGAGCCGCATGTGGCTCCAGAGCCATATGTGGCTCCAGAGCTGCAGGTTGCCAACCCCTGATCTATGTGGTTGCAATGGCCCACAATTGTTGGAAGTAGGCCTGCTTTCACCTGGAGAGACAAGCAAGCCCAAATCCACAATTCGGTGTAGGATGAATGTTATTACCCATTTTCACAGGGAAAAGTTTCATCTCAAGGCCTCATGAGCTAATGAGGTTTCGGCTCGTGGCTGCACTAAAGTGTGGTTTCTTTGACCGGAAGATCCTTTTCAGCACTGTCAGATTGGAAACACACTATAAAATCTCTGCATTCTCTTGAAAAAAAAAAAACACTCCAGGAAAACTGGATCTGCAATAGTTACTGGAAACTCATCGGTTCTTCTGAGGAAATGTTATATCCTTTCTCTTGTTCACGTCAACATCTTTGCCACAATATTTGCTCTTCCTGTTATACAACAGCGCTCGCTGACAAATTTATTTTGAGATGTGTCTAGTGTGGTTGGCTTCAGTCAATTTCTAACACTTAGAAGTGAAACTGGATACTCTTCCATGCATTTCCCACTGCAGTTTTATTTATGATTGGAAATCAACAAGCCATCAGAAGAAATCACAACTCAACTGAGACTGAAAACCCTGTTTTGGATGAACTAGAGACATCTCTGCGGGAGATCAAGAACATTCATCTTGATCAAACAACTCTAAATCATAGCCTGTTGACTGGATGGAGCCATCGGTAATGTACAAGATCCGAAACCCAGACTAGGCTGCCTTTACACAGGTGGCCCTCTGGTTATGATGGAAATTGGGACCGGAATTTCTGTCACTAAGTGACATGGTAGTAAGGCATGTGATCGTATCACTTAACTATGGCAATTCCAGCAATTCTGGTTGCCTTCTTTAAGCAAGTATTATGCCATCACTAAGGGGCTCACCTGATCGTGACTTTCGACTTCCTGCCCGCTTCCCCATTGATTTTGCTTGTCGGCAAGCCGGCAGGGAATGTCGTCGTGGCTTGTTGCAAAGTCATAATTATGAGCCCAGTGCCCTAAGCACAATTACATGATTGTGGCAGGGGTGGGCTTCAAAAAATTTAACAACCAGTTCTCTGCTCGGTTGTTGGGTGAGCGTAGTCATGGTGAGCATGGCCTAGTTGGCCTCCTGCACCACGGGGGGGGGCACATTTTCACTGTCCCCGGGCTCCAGAGGCTTTTCCTACGTCTCCAGGAGGGCGAAAATGGCCTCTCTGAGCTCCGGAGGCTCTGTGGAGGCCGGAAATAAGCCTAGCCTTCCGGAAATGTTTCCTGACACTTCTGGAAGGCCCGTTTTTCGCCCTCCCCGTGCTCCAGAGGCTTTCCTCGAGACTCCAGGAGGGCGAAAACGGCCTTTCCGGGCTCCTGAGGCCTCTGGAGATAGCCAGAACTACAAGGACCCCTGTACTGCACCATCCTAACTTTGAACAGTTGTGGAATAAACGGCCATAACCCAACACTACTTGCATAAGGAAGCTCCAAATACAGCTCAGTCGTATAACTGTACAAACTGTGATTTAGCATGTAAAAATTGAGCAATAACACAAAAGCTCTACCATATACAAGGCAAAAATGAACAGCATTTGGACTTCTGACAATAGAAACATTTAGAAGCAACGGACCCAACCCCCTCCTCCCTCGCCATGGGTGCACTCCCAAATTTACTAGAATCACATGTAAATTTGCATACTAATCAAGACAAATAAACATGTGGTGATTTAACTAGGAAACCGTCTGATGACAATTTAATCGGTACAGGTTAAAAGGTCCATCTCTACCGCATCCTGTTGCAGTGAAAATATTGATTGTGTAACTGATTTGAGGACTGCCTTATTTTGCAGGGCACAAATAACCATTTAATTGCTCTTTAATTGAATGGTGATTGCTCGTGAGCAAATGATTAAGGGTTGCTTTTTTTTTTTGCTTAATTACTCAATTATTTATGCTCAGCAATAATATTTTTATTGGGATAGGGAGATAATGAACTCGCCTCCAAAACAAAGCAAATATATAGATCATTTTCCAGTTACACAAGAGATGAATATTTTTTTGGATTAGGTGTTTCTTTTTTCACAATCCATATCTTCCTGTAATGCTATTAGACTAGCTGCTCCAATGTCTGCAGAATGGTCAAGTCAGTTTCTCGGTATGGACACCACTCCCAAAACTGTGGCTTAACATACCAGGAAGTGCTAAACTTCAAGCCAAGGCATGAGTCTAGGAGGGAAAAATATTAACTCCCGTGTCATGAGGCTATTATGAACTCAGAATATGATAAACTCAGAAAGCTCAAACTGCCCAAGGAGCTGCTGATTCAGTTCTACAGAGGAATTACTGAGTCTGTCATCTGCACCTCTATAACTGTCTGGTTTGGCTCTGCAACCAAACAAAGCAATTAGGACCTCAGAAAAAAAAACAATTGCTACCAACCTGCCTTCCACACTGAGGACCTGTATACTGCATGAGTCAAAAAGAGGGCTGTGAAAATATGTACAGACCCCTCACATCCTGGACATAAACTGTTTCAATTTCTACCCTCAAAACATCTCTATAGGGCACTGCACACCAGAACAACTAGACACAAGGACAGTTTTTCCCCACATGCCATCACTCTGCTAAACAATTAATTCCCACAACACTGTCAAACTATTTACTAAGACTGTATTATTATTATTATTCTCATCCTTCCTACTACTTATCTCCTTTTCTAGTTATGACTACAACCTTGTTGCTTGCATCTTTACGATTTATATAGTTTTATTTAGTTTCCTAGTATAATTTTGATTGCTTATTTAGTATCCTTTGACTATCACTGTTGTATCTTATGTTTCTCGATGAATGTATTTTTATGTACACTGAGAGCATATGCACCGAAGACAAATTCCTTGTGTGTCCAATCACACTTGGCCAATAAAGAATTCTATTATATTCTGTTCTGTTCTGTTCTGTGCTGTTCTGTTCTGTCCTGTCCTATCCTATCCTATTCTAACTCTACTCTACTCTACTCTACTCTACTCTACTCTACTACTCTACTCTACTCTACTCTATTCTACAAACTGTATATGTGCATCATTTATATTGAGTATCAGATTTCAGGCACTAGCTGACCAATTTTGTCCTATTTGGGAGAAAAATTTCTGGTGCATCAGTGTTGTTCATGACACTTCTCCATCAACAGAATTATATTCGAAGCATTATTACAGGCTTGTAAACACTATTTCTTGGTTCATACCTCATGATAAGATATAATTGTGGGCAGGCTTAGCTTTACATGCTTTGAATACAGCCACCATGGCTTGTCAACCAATAATTACAATGTCTAAACCCAGCCAACCGAGGCTTAGTTTTTGTTTTGTTTTTAAGTAGAAATAGTTCAATCAAAAGAAACCTGGAAGGATTCATGAAGTTAACCACAATCTACATTAGGAGTTTCTCTACCAGAACAAAAGACTAGCCAATCTTTCTGCCTCTGGATAAACCAAGGATAGCGCTAGTTGGGAAAAAGAGACTCAACACGTTTCCCCAGTACAGTTGCTTCATCCAACCTGAAGAATTATGAAGATTTCCAGATCAGAACAACACCTGACCTGATCACCATTAGCAATCCAGCCTGTTGCAATATGTTTAACAAACTATGGTTTTAAACGTACCGATTTTCTATTGTGCATACATTCCAGTCCCATAAAGAGTCCTATTTGATCAGACTGAATAGGGGATAGACTGAATATACTTTCTTGTTTGTTTGTTTTTCTTGAAAACGTTTCGCTTCTCAATCAGAATAGAAATGGAAGGGACCTTGAAGATCTTCTAGTCCAACCTCCTTCTCAAGCAGAAGACCCAAGGGCACTCCAGTCTTTTCTTAAAAACCTCCAGTGATGAA